TGTTTCACTTAAGACCTGGATTGATGAGTGGTGATAAAATCCTATTGTAAATGAGGCAGCAGGCTTAGATTGGGCCATTGTTTCTCAAATTTCAATGTGGATGTGAATCACATGTAAATATTAAAATGTAGATCCAGGGTTGCCTGGGTGGCTCAGTTGATTAAGTGTCCGACTTTGGCTCAGTTCATGATCTCACAGTTCGTTGGTTTGGGCCCTGCATTGGACTCCATGCTGAGAGCTCAGAGCCTGGAGCCTGCTTCAGATTGTCTCCCTCTCTCTGCCCCTCCCCTGCCCACGCTCTCTTTCAAGAAGAAACATTAAAAAAAATTTTTTTTAGGTAATGTAGATCCAAATCTGTAGCTTCAAAGTGAAGCTTTAGATATTGCATTTAAAAAAAATACTTATTTTGAGAAAGCATGAGTGGGGAGGGGCAGAGAAGGGTTCAGAGGATCCGAAGGGGGCTCTGCGCTGACAGCAGAGAGCCAACCCAGGGCTGGAACCCACAAACTGAGATCATGACCTGAGCTGAAGTCAAGACACTTAACCAACCGAGCCACCCAGGCGCCCCAAAATGATTGCATTTTTTTTTTTTTTAACTTTTTGAAAGTTTATTTTGAGAGAGAGAGTGTGTGTATGGGGCGGGGGGAATCCCAAGGAGGCTCCATACCCGCACTGTCAGCGTGGAGCCAGGTGTGGGGCTCAAACCCACAAACTGTGAGATTGTGACCTGAGCCGAAACCAAAAGTTGAATGCTTAACCAACTGAGCCACTCAGGTGCCCCAAGATCCTGCATTTTTTAACAAGCTTCTAGCTTCTGCTCTTGGTCTGCTGTGACTATGTGTGAAGTAGCAAGGGGTTAGGTAACATAATAGTAAGTGGGGGAGCCAAGTGAGTCAAGAAACCAGCCAGACTTTCAGAACTGTTGCTGTCAGTATTTAATAACCTATTAGAGTCACGTGGGAAGGGCTTGGAATCATGCTGATTTATTCTATACTTAACCAAAACCTGCAGTGACAAATAAGACTGTATTTTAAGAAGTTACTGTTTAGAGAAAGTGGAGCTGGCTGAGACAAAATTACAGTAGTCACAAGTTGTTACAGTATTGGTACTTGACCCAATTTATGTCGTGGGGAATATCTGCAGAGTGTGGGAAAGATTGCGGAGGAAAGATTCCCTAATTTGGATCCTTTTCCAAGTACATGTGAGGAGCAGTGTGGTTCTTGAGGGGAGCAGGAGAGACCTATGAGGTGAGGGTGGGGGAGGAAGAGGCAGGAACAGGGTGTGGCTGGAGAGCGTGGTGATGGGTATTCAGGTACCAGTCGCGGGGCTTAGAAGGTTGAACTGAGCAATGGAAAAGGGCTGAGCCTCATGAGGAAGGCTTGGGTGCTGCCCTGAGTGGGAATGCCAGACAAGTGGGAGGAAATGGAGGCTGGTACACAGCTCTGGGTGTGTTCACCTTTGCTCTGTGATGTCAGCCCATATTCCATTGGGGCTCAGTTGCCTTCTTTATTTTCCCCACTGGGATGTTTACTCCTGACACATCGCTCACTTCTGCCCCCTTACTGTTTGAGGAGAGCATCTAGTAAATAGGCAGGTTCTGTCTGGGAGCACTGTGCTGCTGCTTCCCCAAGATGTTTCAACTTTGTGGGCCTGGTCTCACAGCTTTTATCATGAGAGCAGTCACTGTCTTTTGCCCTTCAGGGCAAGGGCCAGCCCAGTGCCATCCTTGAGCACAAAGGCAGCTATTGCTACTTATCTGATGGGCCAGATTCCTCCTGCAGCCAGAGCATGGGGGGTCTGGGATAAAAATGAACCTTGGGAAGGCCAGGCAGCCCAGCCACCAGAGGGGCACCGGGATATTTTTCCCAATTTAGGAGATCTGCCAATTGCCACAGTGGGATGGAGCACTGGATGAAACTGGACACTCACATGTGAGAAGGAGTGGATTTACATCATCCAGCTTCAGCCGAGCGTGACACCTCATGGAACCTGAGAGGTGCATTCTCTAAGCCAGCGTTTCCCAAGCAGAGTGCCCTGAGAATGGGGTTTAGGGGTTACCAGGTCTTCAAACCAGCCTGGGAAACCTGAAGGTCCTGGGGCCAATCACCCCTGGCCAGGAACGACCCCTCTAATGACCTCCATAAGCCTTTACAGATAAATTATTTTCTGCATGTGACAAGATGTGAAAAAGGTTGGAAACTTTTAAGCAGCCCCAATGGTGTGGGGATGAAAGAAGGTGAGAGAAGATTTTAGTTGAGAAAAAATACTCCAGTAGGACAGAACCTAGGGAATTGGAAGAGCAAAGTGCCAGTGGTTGGGGAGGGATCTGTCCTTGCGATGATGATTCTTTTTCCCCTCCTCTGTTGGTGAGAGAGTGAATAGAAGTTAGCCTGCAGCAAGAACAAATACACCCCAAGGTCTAGGTCACTGCTTTGTGGCTGACAATCATCTGATCTGCCCTTGAGCACAAATGGAAAAGTCTGGACTCAGATCGGCTGCCGTGGCTGATGCTGCTGAGGCTTGATGGGGATAAATGGAGAAAGCCTAAGAGTGCAGCCTTCGAGATTGGCCAGGGCCCCGGCCTCCGTGGACAGAGGCCTTAGGCTGCCCTCATCTGACCTGACCAGAGGAGCAGACTTCTGCCCCCTGGAGGCTGCTGGCCACCGCGGGTCCAGTGGGCCCAGGCATAGCTGCTTTGTTTGAGCCTGGGTGAGGAGGAGAGAACGGCTGGGCTGTGAGGGACGGCTGTGAGGGACGTGCCCTGGCTGTCTAACTCGTCCGTCCTGTGTTTGGGAAGCAGCTGGCAAATGCCTCTGCCCCAGGGGGAGCCTGTCAAACAGCCCAGGGCTGGTCCAGAGGTGGCCAGGTGGGTTCGAGCTTGGAGAGAGCCTATCTTCAGTCCTCTGACTTCTGGAAGATGCGTGGCAACCCCAAGTGGGGCTGCAGGAGGAAGGGGAGGCTCTGTCAGGGTAGGAGCTCCCAACACCCTGCAAGGTGCTATTGTTACACCCGTTTCTACAGCCAAGGAAGCGGAAACTCAGAGAGCTTAAGTACCTAGCCTAAGGCCACAGAGCAAGTGGCCAAACTGAAATTTGACCCCAGAACTCTGACTCCAAAGCCCTCACTCACTCCAGTCTGCCCAGTGGCCTCCCAGAGAAACCTGCCTGGCGGTGACTCCAGATCTGGAGGACAAGGGCCACATCCTGGGTGGTGTGGGCCTGACGCCCGTTCACAGAGCACTGGCTGGAGCCACAGCTGCAGAAGGGAGATTTTGTTATGCTGTTGATTGTCAGAGCGCTTTCTAGAAGCCCCGTTCCTGGGCCCAGGGGCAGCGTGAAGGTCCAGAGGGGCAAAGCCAGCTGGCTCCCACTATCCAGGCTGTAGCTTCCCCAGTGAAGGGGCTTTTTTCATCCAGGCCGCTCTCTGAGCTCAGTGAACCCATTCTTTTTTTTTTTTTTTTAATTTTTTTAAATGTTTTTATTTTTGAGACAGAGAGAGACAGAGCATGAGCAGGGGAGGGGCAGAGCGAGAGGGAGACACAGAATCCGAAGCAGGCTCCAGGCTCTGAGCTGTCAGCACACAGCTCAACGTGGGGCACTCACAGAGTGTGAGATCATGACCTGAACTGAAGTCGGATGCTCAACCGACTGAGCCACCCAGGCGCCCCAGAGAAAGCTTTTAAGCACTCATCTCACCACCAGAATTCTTTCTCATTCTCTTTTTAAAATGAGAACGGAATATAAAGCTTTCCTAATTACACAAGAGTTTTGTCTACATTCGCAAATTAGTTTAATTCGCTAAGGGTGGGTAGGTGGGTGCAAATTCAGTCTCATCGCTGTCACCCTTCACCTCCCTCCCCGCGCTCTGTTCCTATCAACTATCTCATTTCGCTCACAGGAGATGTCTGGCCTGACAGTAAACTAATACTAAAATGTCCTTGGCAAAGGTAATCGCATCCAGTTGTACTATTATAACAATCATTTTCTTTTTTAAGCTGAACTCCTTGTTTTCGGAGAGCCTAATTGGTGCAAGTCTCTGCGCTGTGTACCATAGGGAATATATTTAGCTTTTTTGTCTCCCCTCGCCCCCAGCCCCTGACTGTAGACACAGATCACCTGGGCACAACCCTAATTCAAGGCCGTATATGCTACGTGTCTGAAGGCATTGTCACATGTAGCAGCCACGATGGCACATCTACCCCAGAGCCCTCCCAGCTGGTCGTTTTAGCTGCTAACACCACCTGGTTCGGTTCAGGGGTTGGGCGCCCATGTGCAGCAGGGGAAGCTGGGCCTCTCCACCACCAGGGTGAATCTGAGTCTAAGCTGATCGAGGTAATTCCAGTTCTCTTGCCAGGGACTGGTGAGGAAGCAGCATGTGACACAGTTACGGAAATGAGGGGTGAGGTAATGTCTGCTGGTTGGGGGTTGGGGGGGGGGACGATGTTCTTAGAAAGATTCCCTTGCTCTTGAAAAGGAATGCAGGGAAAGGATTTTCTGTCTTGCAATGTTTGGATGCAATTGCGTGGGCTCATGATGCCTGATGGTGTCGCAGTCGTCTTATGACCATGAGGGGACAAACGTGAGGACAAAAAGCTAACAGTCTTGAGTGTGACAGAGCCGAAAGATGAAAAGAACCTGGGTTCTTGATGGGACATTGAGCCCCTGAACTAACCAGCCTTGAAACTTCTCTGCCTCTTGTTTTCTCATGTGAGATTAAAAACCCCCTGATTGTTGGGGACATTTTGAGTTAGGTGTTCTATTGCTTCCTGCCACAAGTGTTCTAATATTAGAGCCTTACGTAGGGGCGCCTGGCTGGCTCGGTTGGTAGAGCATTAGAGCATGTAACTCTTTTTATTGTTATTTTACTTTTTTGAGGGGGGGCGCAAGTGACCCAGGGGCGGGGGGGGCGGGAGAGAGAGAATCCCACGAGGGGTGGAAAGAGAGAGAGAGAGAGAAGTAGAACTCACCCAAAGCAGGGCTCGAGCTCACCTGAAGAGGGGCTCGTGCTCCCCGAGGTGGGACTCGAACTCGCGAACCGTGAGATCATGACCTGAGCCAAAGTCGGACGCTTAACCGACTGAGCCACCCGGGTGCCCTCTAACTTCTTGATAGTGAGGTATTAGACTGTGACTTTTTTCTAAGTTGGACCCTCTTCATTCTAATAATTGTTGATTGTCCATGATGGTTTAGCTGTAATGGGGGCCTGGGGCCGACGGCCAAGAAAGAATTCTTGAGACATCTTCAGTGCAAAAGGGTGATTCTATTCAAGCATGAGGGCAGGATCTGGGGGCAGGAAGAGCTGTTTGAGCATGTAACTATTGAAATAATAAAAATATTAAGATCCTTTTAATTATGTATATCTCTGCCAGTGCAAACATAACCCTGGGAGAGCAAAGAGATTCTATGCCCCCTTCCTTTCCTCAGCATTTGGCCTTCCTCTGCCTGCAGCTCGTGGTCAACCAAACTGATCTGCTTCTTCCTTTCCGTCTTTTCCAGGAGTCTTGGCTGAACTTAAACCATAAATCGAAGGCACACAGAGAACATCAGCAGGTTCGGAAAATATACCTTCTCTCCTTTTACGTGCAACCGTGAATGGAGCCACAGCCTGATTTGCTGGTGGTGTTGAGGAGCAAGGAGGCTCACTCCGGAAGAATCACCTCCCCCAGGAAGCCCAGCCAGAGGATTCTGATCCCAGGGCGGTTCCAAAACTTCCCCAGCCTAAGGAGCTTGGAGCATGATGCCTGGGACAAGAACCAAACCATAGTCTGAGGGCTCCAAGGTATAAATAGGGATCAGTCCACTGGTTGTTCCCCTGCATGGAGGCCCTTGCGTCCTCGAGAGGAAAAAGCCTGTGAGATTGTTTCACCTTTTCTGACCTCCTGGGTTTCCCCTACTCTTTCTCCCTTCTCTACCTCACCCTTCCTCTTCTCTCTCCACTTCCCTTTCTCTCTTCCCTCTCTCTCCCACTTTCCCCATCTCCATTTGCTCGGTCACCTCCCTTCCCTCAAGCCAGGTGTCTGCAGACAGAATTCACCTAGGGAGGGACAAAACTTCTTTTTCTTCCTCTCTTCCTCCTCCTCCTCCTCCTCCTTCTTCTTCCTCTTCTTTCTTCTTCCTCTTCCTCCCCCTCCTCCTTTTTTTTTTTTTTTTTACGTGCAAATAATATTTTATTTCTTCCTCTGGTTGCTAGTAACATTGTTGCACATTTTTTTTGTGAAAATTCATCTTGCCCCACTATGAGAACTTGTAACAGACACAGGCAATGGCCCTCGCTGGCTGGGAGCCCCACAGGCTCCCGAGCCAGGAGCTCGGACCGGCTGGGCCCAGCTGTCAGATGAGAGCCTGTGTGGCCTGCAGGCAGAGGGCAGGCAGGGCAGTTTGTCGGGTATCAGACTCTTTGAACTTGACTGTTCAGCTGTCACTAGGCCTCTCCATGCAGAAGGTAGGGGGAGATGGATGGCAGAGTGTCACGATCCGATCGCAAAAAAGAGCCTCCTGGTGACTGGCCTGATGGGCAGGAGCCCCTTCCTGTCTCATTTCAGGCGCGTGCATGTGCTCCAGCTTGTGCCTGGTTAGAGAGGGGGTAACCAGGGCTCCTCTAGCGGGGGCTGGGAGCCGGGGTCCTACCTCCTCGTTCCCATGGAATTGTGAGGACCACTCAGCATCTTCTTGAGGAAAGTGGGGGAGGAGTGCCTACGCGTCCCAGAGTTTTCCACTGGCTCTAAGCTTCTGCAGGCCAGACAGAAGGGCTCACAGAGTCTGCCAGGTGGGCCAGCATAAAGTCTACACCTCCTTTCGGGTAATCGAAGTCACCAGAGAGTTGGGGAAGTCACTGCCCTCCTTGGACCACCTGACTGCGGTCTCCTCTGAAAATGCATCCTTCGACCACAGATGAGATCGCGTGTATGTTCCAGCCCCGGCTCCATCCTGACACACGGGCCCCAGCTTTCCCCACGCTTCCCCTCTCTGTACAGGCACTGCTGCTCCTTCTCCTCCAGAGAATCTTGGCACATCACCCGATCAAGGAGCAGCGTCAAGCTTCTGGGGAGCAGGGCTCTGAAAGCCACAAGGATGTTTAATACATGCTTCCTTTATTCCCCGAGTCCCCTACTCAAGAGCATGTATGCTTGGAAAAAATGTCAGATATCATTTAATCCAACCCTTTTCTTTAACCAATGTGGAAGACAAGTCCCAGTGACTGGCCTAGGCCTGGGACCAGGTGTCTTGGTTTGTGGTTAGGTCATCTTTCCATGCGACACGAGCCATCTGTTTTTTGTTTTTTTTTTTAATGTTTGTTTATTTTTGAGAGAGAGAGAGCACATGCGTGCGAGTGGAAGAGGGGCAGAGAGAGAGGAAGACACAGAATCTGAAGCAGGCTCCAGGCTCTGAGCTGTCAGCACAGCACCCGATCCGGATCTTGAACTCATGAACTGCGAGAATGTGAACTGAGCTGAAGTCGGAGGCTTAACCGACGGAGCCACCCAGGCGCCTCCAACAAGAGCCATCTTAAGTGTAAACCCCTCTGCCTAGCTTTCCTGCCCTCCATAAACCAGCCCTATCTACTCAGGATGCCCATAGCTGTACCACAAACCTCTTCGGCCCTAGTCAGGCTGTCCTTACTGGGTCTCTGTTGTTCTCCATCATGTTCCCCGGAGTTTACCCATCCAAATCCCAGCCATCCCTCAAGGCCTTAGGATCAACTCAGCACAGAATGTTCTTAATGATCATGCTGTTGGACCAGAGCAGGAGACTTGTTCAAGACTACAGAGCTCATTATCAGCTGGCCCAGGAAGAACCCCTGCCTTGACCTCCTTCATCCTTTCATGTGGGGTGGCCCTGTCTCCTCCTCAGGGACCTACTGACCGGTGAATGGCCTATCAATTGTAAACTGACTCTGAAAGGCATTGAACCCATGGGGGAACTGCTAGGAAATGAGGTAAGTTCAGAATATCCCATGCACCCATGTTTGATTGACAAGGCCAACTCCACGGGGAGACTATAGGCTGAGGGGAGGGGAGTTTCTGCTCCAGGGACTCTCCAACTGTGGAGAGCACATCCTCTGCCAGGGAGTAGGGACAAACTCTCATCAGGTACAGTCTTGTTACAAGAGACCCCAGAATCAGGTGGAGGCCAAGGTAAGAGGCCCAGTTTCTGTTCTCATAAGTGGTGTGACCAACCCTGCAACAGCTCCTTCCCTGTCTCACTCACCCAGTAACTAGAGCCTCTGCCTTGCACCACAAGGACGTCAAAGACAATGGGACTGACTTACTAGAAAGAAGGTCTGGGATGTCATGACACTTCCCTCCTAAATGCTCCTGTGGGCACCTCCTGAGAACAAGAACATTCCCTTACACAACCATATTCCCATCTTCACAGCTAAAAACAGAATAATCGTTCCATAGCATATAATACACAAATTACTCCAATAGTGCTTTTTTTATCCCCCTCTGAATCTGCGATCCAATCTAGTTTGTACATTGCATTTAGTTGTTATAGCTCTCGGTCTCTTTTTTTTGTCTAGAACAATCTCCCACTGTACTGGGTTGAATGGTAGCTCGCCAAAAAGATGTCGACGTGTCAGAACCCGTGATGGTGACCTTATTTGGAAGAAGGGTCTTTGCAAGATGTAGTTACGGATCTCGAGATTATCCTGGATTAGCCAGGTCATCCAGTTTAATGGCAAGACAGAAAAGAGAAGACAGACACCGAGAAGAAGGCCATGTGAAGACAGAGGCAGAGATTAGAGACGCTGCCACGAGCCAGGAAACACCAGGAGCCGCCAGGAGCTGGAAGAGGCAAGGAAGGATTCTCCCCTACCGCCTTTGGAGGAACAGCCCTCCCAACATCCTGATTTTGGACTTCCAGCCTCCAGAACTGTGAGAATGAATTTTTGTTGTTTGAAGCCCCCAAGTTGTGGTAATCTTTTATGACCTTCCTATTTTCCTAGGAAATTCATATGCTCCCCCCCTTTAAAAAAATGACACTGACTTTTTTAAAAGTCTAGGAATTGTTGTATTATCGAATGTCCCAATTCTGAAATTGTCTTCAGATTGACCTTTTAAAGTCATAAATCAGATCAAGTCATTCCCTTGCTTAAAACCCTCCAACGGCTTTTCATTGCATTAAAATAAAATAAGCTATAAACTCTTTACTCTGATTTACAAAGCCCTACGTGCCCTGACTCCCTCCCATGCCTCCAGCCTCACCTTTCCCTCTCCTCCTCACTCATCTCGCTCAGCCTCACTGACCTTTCTCTAATTCCTCAGACATGCCAAGCTCATCCCAATCTTACCCCTTATGCTCTGGTTCTTTCCTCTGCCCAGGTGACAACCAAATACAACTCTTGATCTTTGATCCCAGATTGGGGGAAATAGCTATGAAGGACATCCTTGAGATAACTGGGGGAATTTGAACAGGACTGTATATTAGATAGTATTGTTGTATTAATGTTAAATTTCCTGAGTGGGGAAATAGTACTGTAGGCAAATGTCTTTGTTCTTAGGAGATGCCTGATGAAGTATTTAGGGGTGAAATATCATGATGTCTGAAACTTACTTTCAAAGGAATTGTGGCAAAATACTGACAACTGTAAGTCCAGGAGAAGGGTATACTGGGGCCTCTAGCAATGTTCTTTCAACTCTTCCCTGGGTTTGAAACTCTTAAAAATAAAATGGGGAAAAAGACAGACAAAGAAAAAAAATCTTAATCCAGGAATACTCAAATTTTCATGCACATTAAAAATCATCTAGGAAGTTTGTTAAAATGCAGATGCTAGAGATTCAGAAGATCTGGTTGAGGCACTGGACACTGGCATCTGCTTTTTAACAGTCTCTCAGGTGACTCTGTCAAGCCCCCAGGCCATGCTATGAGAGGGAAAATTCACTTAGCATTCCATGGCCATAAGCTGCTCTCCTGTTCTCCAGCTGAGGGGTGGCTGGTTGGAAAGGTCAGGAAGGCAGATGGAGACGTGATTTTATGATAGGGCAGGACTGGAGATTGTGAACATAGTAGAAGATGGGGCTGGGGTGGGGGGCAGTGTTTGCAGGCAGAGAACAGAGTTTGCCCTGCTTCCGTGGCTTTTTGCTTGGGGTGGGGGCTGCTGGGGCAGTGCAGAGGAGGCTCCTAGAGACCAGGTGAAGAATAGAATCAGGGCTCTTAACTCCTAAGACCAGTGTTGCTATTCTATTTTACACAACCTTGTGAATTTTTCTTAGCTGTAGAAAGAAGGTGAAATAATTGTGAATTCCCCAAATTCCAATGTTGGTGAACCAACCTGGAGTGTTAGATGGATTGACTGCAGACATGTCATTCTAACTTCTGACCAGAAGGTGGCAGCAACACATCTCTTTATTTTCCAGACCCCCTATCATGGGAAAGATTTTTTTTTTTCAGGTGCCTCAGAGTTCCCTTCACAATTTAACCAACACTTATTTGACCTAGATCATATGCTATACTCCACAGACACAAAGGTGACTAAGACTCGATCCCTTTCCCAAAGATCATATTATCAGGGATGGGGGAGTCAGACCTATAAACAGATTAGTGCTAGTTTACTAGCTGTGTGACCTTGGGCAAATTGCTTAACCACTCTGTGCCTGCTTTTTCAACTGTAAAGTGGGAATCATAATAGTACCTATGTTGTAGGGTGATTGCGAGGATTAGAAATGATAACGTGTGTAAAATGTATACCACACAGGAAATGTTACCTATTACTATACGATACAGTGAGAAAAGTGATGGGATGGAAAAGATACCCAGAGTACTCCCTAACTGGGAGGAGCAGAGTCCCCAGAGGGAGATAATGGGGAAGGGATTCCACTCTGGTGCAGCCACTCTGTCAGTGGGGACCCTGTGGCCAGACCAGCCTGGGAGACAACCCAGCTTGAGAGGTGTGGAGCTGGACTCCTTCTGGCTAGGTTCATCTTGGCTCCTACAGGCCCAGAGCCCAGAACATCAGCAGGGCCTAACCAGCAGAGGGAGCCACGATTAGCCTGCTGTGCAACCTCAGACTGGCAACTTTGTCCCTCTGAGCTTCAAGTGCTACTAAGTGGTGGGGAAAGGGGACCACAGAAACCAAGGGATGGTACTGAGTTCCACACCTGGACACCACCGGAGAGTCAGCTGTAAAGTCAGCCAATTCAGGGGAAGCAGGGACTTGGAGCTAGGGGTGTAAAGAGGAAACACTAAGAAGGCAAAGAGATCTTGAGGATGACATTGGACTTTCCCCAGGATGTGGAATGGAGGTCGAGCCGGTCCTACACCTCTGGAGGGCAGGGGGACCCCAGCTGACACTTAGTTACAAGTGAGCAGGGTTGTGACATTGCTCCCCCGTGTCTCAGCTTCCTCTCTGTCACATAGGAGGGGAAGAAGGCCATCAACAGTGTTGAGCACCTACTATGAGCCTCATGACGTGCTAATTACTTCATGTACAATATCTCACCTAGACGCCACAATGCCCAGGAAGGAAGGTGTCATTTTTCCTGTTTTACAGATGAAGAAACTAAAGCTCAGAGAGGACAAGTAAGTTGCCCAGCGTCGTGCAGCTAGTAAGTGCCCAGGCTGGTGGCCTGATCTCTTTTCCCATGACCTTTTCCGTCATTTGGCTTTAGCCTCAGTTGTCCACTCCCTTAGAAATGCCCTGGAATGGGGCGCCTGGGTGGCGCAGTCGGTTAAGCGTGCGACTTCAGCCAGGTCACGATCTCGCGGTCTGGGAGTTCGAGCCCCGCATCGGGCTCTGGGCTGGTGGCTCAGAGCCTGGAGCCTGTTTCCGATTCTGTGTCTCCCTCTCTCTCTCTGCCCCTCCCCCGTTCATGCTCTGTCTCTCTCTGTCCCAAAAATAAATAAACGTTGAAAAAAAAAATTAAAAAAAAAAAAAAAAAAAAGAAATGCCCTGGAAGTCTTATCATCCATAAATACCCCAGCTCCAGAATCACAGATTCATGCATCTTGCTCTCTGACATCCACTCCCCACCCTCTCGGTGCCTCTTTCAATTCCATTGTACTGTGACTGTTTTCTGGCCCTGCCTGGGAGGCCAGCTCCGGACCTCTTTACTCTCCCAATCTCCCACCCTCTTGCCCACACGCCCTTCCTCAACCATTTTGAGTCCGTGGCCTGTCATTCAGTAGCACTCTTGCCAGTAACCTCAACTTCATTGCTCACCTTCCTTGCAAACCTCTGAATGCATCTGATTGTCATTTCTCTCCAAGCCTTCACTGGAGCAGCGGAAGGGGGAGGGGTAATAATACCACTGACTACTATGTACACAGCACATATTCTGTGCCAAGTGCTAAGTGCTTCACATATTTAACTCAGTTTATCCTCCAACTCTATGCGGTAGGTACGATTCTTATTGTCCCCATTTATGGATAAAAAAAATGGAGTGGATAGAGGTGAAATCACTCACCCAAACTCAAAAGCACACAGCTAATTAATTTGAGGAGGCCATGATCAAACCCAGGTCTGTCCAGAGTCCCTGACATTGAGAAGAGATCAGCAGGGAGGTACTTGGCTCCTTCCACTCTGGGACCAGAACTGCTCTCAGCCACTAGTAGGGACAATCCAAAAGAAATCCAGAACCTCACTGCATTCGGCAGCTGACAAGATCATTTGAGACATCCGTGATAATAATAAAACTAACTTACATTTCATCCATTATTCTATTATCCTAAGTGTTTAATCCTCCCAACAGCAGTATGCAGTAGAAGTTACAATTGTCCGCGTTTTACTAGGGGACATGGAAGGACACTGTAACAGGCCTAAATTCATACAACACAGAATGTTGGAGTCAGATGGGAAGCTGGGCAGCTGGATGCCAGAGCCCTGGCTCTCTCTTTTTTCAAATTTTTGTAAAGTGTATTTATTTTAGAAAGACAGAGACAGTGAGAGTGGGGGAGGGGCAGAGAGAAAGGAGAAGAGAGAGAGAATACCAAGCAGGTTCCATGCTGCCAGCGCAGAGCCCGACTTGAAGCTCGAGCCCATGAAACCACGAGATCATGACCAAGAGTCGATCACTTAACTGATGAATCACCCAGGCGCCCCCAGAACCCTGGCTCTTAATGGTGACCCTTTCCTACCTTTCTTCTGGCCTCAAGATCTCCCAGGGCTGGCTCGTTCTTTCTTTCTTTCTTTCTTTCTTTCTTTCTTTCTTTCTTTCTTTCTTTCTTTCTTTCTTTCAAGTATGGTGGGGGGTTGCAGGGGGAGAGGGGGAGAGAGAATTGCAGAGCCCAATGTGGAGCTCATTGTAAGGCTCCATCTCATGACCATGAGATCATGACCTGAGCCAAAATCAAAAGTCAGATGCTTAATCAACTAAGCCACACAGGCACCCCCTGGCGTAAGAGGGGAGGAGTAAGGGGTAAAAAAGGGGGGGGGGGATCTCCTCTGACTTGCCTGCAGGCCTAGTTCCCCCACCCAGGCCCTGGCCTTCCTTACTCCCTCCACAGCTCCCAGAGCCCTGCTGAGGAGGTCCTGGTCCCTTTTCCTCTGAGGCATCTGAGTGGTGAGCTGGGAACTTAAGCAGCAAAAGGGTGGGAACTCCCCTTGGAACTCCCTGGGCCCAGCCCAAGGGGCCTCTGCTCTACTCTCAAAGGCCCAGACCTACCAGCAGCTCCCTATAAAGGACCAGCTTAGACTCCCAGTTTGCTCCCTAGGTACAGCAGGCAGAGGCAGGGCAGGGCCTAGGCTGGAGTTGGTGGGACTCCAGGCCAATGGCAGCTGGGGCTCAGAGCCTAGGGTTGCAGCAGAAAACACCAAAACTTCTCCATCACCCCCTCCCCCACCCCACACATAGCTGCCAAGCCCCCACCCCCAGCCCAGGCTGGACCCCACCCCACCCCACTCCTAGAAGTCAGAGGGGACAGGCCCAGGTCTATCCATCCTGTCCCCTCTCTCCCATCCTCCCTCTTCCCATTCCCCTGGCAACCAAACCAGACCCATCAAGGAGAAGGACCTGGCAGCTGTGCAGGGAGAGACTAATGGCCCGGAAGGAAGGAGGGGCCTGGAGAGGAGACGAAGGAAGGCGGTAGGGTTGTGAGCAGGCAGGCGGGCGTTGGCCCATCTCAGAGGACACACAAAGGAGGGGCGGCTCCTCTGCCCTGCAATGCCGAGGAGCTGGCTGGCCAAGGAGCCGCCCTCCTCATCCCCCCCTGCCA